ACAAGTCAATTAGGTTTTCTCATCTGGTATGAACATTTGGACACAGATTCTGAAAATTGAGATTTGAACTTTTGAAGATGAAAAGCAGGAGGAAAAAGCACAAGAAAAGAAACTGGAAATTTAGTCATTTAAAGATTGGAAGGAGTTTGTTTAGGAATGTGATTGCTTAATTTTTTATGCAATGTGAATTTTCTTAATCATCAAGAATAGATGGCAACATAATTCACTCAGGATTCCTCTGACCAATATTTAAGGAATACCTACTGCACATCAGATATTATGTTAAGGAATAAAATGTAAAGGTGAATAAGACAAAACCCTTGTCCTCGAGTTTATAGACTCTGTGTAAGACAATTACAATGCAATGTGATGATTATTAGTACAAGTTTAAGAATAGAAATCAGATTTTGGAAAAGGTAGCATATAAACTAAGACCACAGGTTTATGTACAAGTAGACATGTTCACATTTCTTGGGAATACATTCATTTCAATAATCATAATTCAATTTGACAGTATTTTGAAAATAAAACTCTTAACATAAATTTTGGTTTTGGTCATTTTGCTTAGTAGCTCTTAAATGTTCATTTAAGTAGCTCTTAAAGGTTCATTGATAAGTTTGAACAAAATCATCTATAGAAACAACATTGATTTCCTTCTTAATACATTGTGAAGTGTTAATTATTAAACAAAGCATCCATTGTATTGTAGACGAGTTTTCTAGATAAGAGTGCAAATTCTTAACGTTACACATAAAATTTTATATTAAATTGTTTCACTTTAGTGGCCATCAATATTAGAAAATTCAAATTTAGCACATTTTAAAAAATATCAATTTTAGTTTTCATACATTTTATAGCTTTATTGTGATTTATCTGGAGAGACAAATCATGCCTTTGCTAACCGGTGACTGTTGTTATGAATTTTGTTTTTTACTTATTGCCCTTTATTTGTTTCCAGTTCACAGTGTTGCTAAATAGATAACTCTTGCTTTTCATTTTCCTCTTTTTGATAAACTGATAGTTTTTAAGCACAAAAGGGCTATTCTAACTCAGTAATTTACATAAAAATCATAATTAACTAGTCTTTCAAGACTACATTAAAATTATAATTCTTCTTACTCCCTTTTTTAAATAATTCACCTTTATTTATTTATTTATTTATTTATTTATATGGTGCTGTGATTTGAACCCAGTGCCTCATCGATGCTAGGCAAGAGCTCTACCACTGAACTACAACCCCAGCTCCCTCTTATTCTTTATAGTACTTTTTGTTCAAATAAATTACAGAAGTTACGACACCTCAGTTTTCAAAAATAAAATTGGCTTTATTTATGATTAAAGTCAATAATATAAAAACTATAATAATAACAACAACAAATAATAATAATAATATTACATTGTATCACAGGCTTTTCTTAAAAGGCTGGAGGATCATGAGTTCAAAGTCAGCCTCAGCAACTTAGGGAGGCCCTGAGCAACTCAGCAAGACCTTACCTCTAAATAAAATATTAAAAAGGAATGGGATGTGACTCATTGGTTAAGTTCCTCTGGGGTCAATCCCTGGTACCCCACCACCACCAAAAATGTGTTCCTTAGGATGCTCATTAGTCATGGGGAAGTGTCTTTTTAGTCCTCAAACAAAAACAACAAAACACTCCATAGGATAGGATATCTCCATGTTTAATGGTACTGATAGTAAAGGTATTAATAATCTGTTTGAGAATCTGAAGACATATCATTTAACAACTTGGAATTTCTGCTGTCCTTCAGATCAAAACAGAAATGAAATATAGAAAAAAAATCAGTATATATCTGTTTCTGTCTTACAAGCCACAGGAGAAAAACTGACTGTAGTATCCTTCACTGTACTTGCAAACTTATATTATGTGGGAACTCCAGTCATTTTTAGGTCTTTTTAGAATACATAGAAAAATGATATTGTGTACATGTGATTGCTAAGGAGCCCATGACACCTTGGTCTGATTTTGTTGAGTAATTACATCTATTTCTCCTTACTTTCCTTTTTCTGATTGTTTCTGTAAATTAGGAAATATTTAAATATTTTATAATGATCCTTCATTTTCATCCAGAAAAGTCATTCAATATAACTACAATATTATTTAGATCCTAATGCCTAGTGATAGGAATGGTGCTTAAAAATACTTGTTAGAGTTCTTAATGGGGCTGTTACCTTTGTTGTGGAGTGTTTCTTGATTCAGACATGTCCTGTGAACAGCCAGTACAGGACTGGTGCTTGGATGAGGTACTGGATGATACTGTGAGCAAGCAGTTTTTATTTTCTTACCACCTGATTAGTTTATCCTCTCAGCTTAATGTGATCATAATTATTTTTTCATAAATTCTTTTTTAATGGCTGTAACTGTTCTAATTCTTTTACATTCTTATGACCCTGATCTCTGCAAAAACAACTCTGTAGGGTAGGTAACATGATCATGGTTTATAGACAGGGAAAATATAACTTGTTCAAGATCAGAAATTGAAGAGGAGCAGCTGAACTTCTATTTTAGAATTGTCTGATGGCAAAAGCTAAGCACTTAACTGTTATCCTACATCATAACCACGGCTGCCTAGAACTCAAAGAGCCTGGTCTATGGATCACTGATCACATGAATATCTTTTCTTAGTGCTTGTCACCACTTCACACAGACTGACCTCGTGGACCTCACCCTCACAACCATCTTGTGGCACTGACTTCAGAAGGGCAAAGATTATGGCTATAGATCACAAAGAATAGACCTGCTATTGAATCTGTATGCTGTATTAATTTATCTGCACAACCAAAGGGGTTTGCCATATCTCCTTTTGTCCAACTGGTAGTGTTGTCATAACAGTGTCTTTATACAGGATTAACAAGTAACTAACTTATTTACTTTGGTTGCCAATAAATAACTGTAGTCTGTTAATAATTGTGCATGTGTTTTATGTGGCTGTGTATATCTGAGACAGTCTTACATTTCTGGCATCCTAGATGGGATCGATATTCCTTTATACTTAACCTTCTATTTTATTATATTTCCACTAACAAAAAGTAAATCACATAAAGAAAAGCTTAAGTATTTAAAATAATTTACCAGTATATTGTATAAGTGATACAGACTAATAAGTCTGAATCTTTTTTTCAGTGTTACCTAAATATAAGTTTTTGTCCAATCTTAAATAAATGAATAAACCTGACATGTATTTTCTTGCTTTAAAACATATCAGATCTTTCACAAATTCCCTGAACTGTATTATGTTTATCTCTTCATATTTTTAACACTTTTAAATTGCTAACATGATGAAGGTAAGTTGTATCCTAATTTATCTTTTAGTGTATCACAGTGCCAAACTTGACCTTACACATAGTAGATGCTCATTGAATGTTGTTGGCTTGGTGAATAAATTAGTCTGTACTAGATTGAACAGATTTGCAGTCCTAAATTGTTCTTGCCATCATTTCACTCTGCATAATTAAGAAGTTTTACTGAGATGATTAAAAATGTGTTATTGAATTACTGGTGTAGATTCTAAAGCAGTGGGATAAAAAAGACCATGAATATACCTCTATGAGGAAGCAATGAGAGTGTGTTTCTCACTGTAGGTACACCTAGTGGATTTTTTGTGTGATTGAATTAATTTATTTCTTTTAGGAAGGTTAGATTTATGATTTCCATATGGCACTTTATAAGTTTATCTTTTACCCTTAACTTGCCAACTTATATTTTCCTATGATAAAAGTAATTAACTGTATATGAAAATAAAAAGAAAAAATTTAAACACCCATATTTCTATCATCCAGATATAATCACCCTTAGTATTTGTGTTTTTTAATTTTTTAATCTACATAATTTTATACTGTCTATGCAATTAATACCCTACCATAAAATTATCATTTTATAGGTATTTCTATTGTTTTTATAGTACATAAGATAGATTCCTGGAACTAAAATCACTGAGTAAAAATTTTGAACTTTGAGGTCTTGATATGTATATACTTTCTAGAAACTTACAATTTGTACTCTCATTGGAAGTATATATGATGCTATTTCATTGAGCCAGTGTCAAAATCATTTATCTATCTGTACTTTTAAGCAAGTGTCGTCAAGTAGAACTACTCACTTTAATATGTTGCTCTTGACAACTATGCTCAGAAATATATAAATTAAAAACTGTATTTTGCTTTCAGAAAGAATTATGGAATTCTTGCTTTAGAGAATTCAGTTTGGATGCTGCAGCTTACAAAGTTTCTTCCTAAACCAAATTATTTTTTTGGTTCTGATTATAAACTACATACTTTTGTTTAAACTGGACTTAGTTTTCTATATTGATAACTACTTCACTGGAAGTTTTGTCAGTCAGTGTTTTGGGTTGAGACATTAGGCATTATATCTGATGTAGTGTTAACGTTCCTTCTTGTATCAATCAGTCTCATTTCTCTGTTGTAACAAATTTAATGAGCATTCAAAATTTACTTATGTTTATTTATGCATTTTTTTTGTGTGGACTGCTGTACAAAAGCACCTTCATTCCATACCAATATTCTAGCCAAACTGAGTGCAAATGAGTCAGAGTAGTTTCATTTTAGAGAGCAGCAGTCATATTTGTATTAGGAAGGCAATAGTCTTGGATGAATACCAAAAAAAAAAAAAAAAAAATCATTTTTAAGTGTTTGCCTCGTCCTCTAGTGAAAGCATTTGCGTTTCAGAGGCCATGGTGAGTCTCAGTCCCTTGCTGGTTCCTGTTTTTGATAACATTGCTAAGAGGCTATATGTATTTGTGTGTATTCACACACATGAATTTAGTATGATCTGAAGTATCCTATGAGAAATATATATATATATATATATATATATATATATATACACACACACATATATAATTTACCTTTTCTATTCACTGCAGTCTTTCCTACTTTTCTGCATAAATTGTCTCAACAAAGATACTAGATGTAACTCAGTAATTTAATCTTACTTATATGACATATTTGTTTTGCATTTCAGAGTACCAGATAAATTGCAAGTCTGTTGTGTCCCATAGCAGGTATGTATATGATTTACCTATAACTAAGTAAGTCTGTGTATTAACTGAAAAATTACTACATTTTGTTTATTAAAATTCTTACAGATTTCCTAATATGAAAATGTTAATTTTTTAATATTGTACTTACAGATATTCACAGCTTCAAAGAACATTATATTTCATACATATGTTGTATTTCATTTTATTGTAAGAATCAAATAAACATTTATAAAATTTGATGAGGCAGAATAATTTTAATTATAAAGCTTTCATCTTTGAAGATTAGATAGTATTTTATGGAACTGAACTATTAAAGCAACTGATGATGTGGGAACAGACTGTTACAGAACTACTGTGTTTTTGACATTATTGTTTTTCAAACTTTTTTGCTGTTTTCAAATTCATTTTCCATGGGGGTTGCTTTAGGTAAGGAGTGGTTGCAGATGTACTGTCTGCTGCACTGTCTCAAGCACTAGACAAATGGGAAAAAAAATGTTTGCACCTGTTTAAAATCTCAACCGTGCGGTGTTGTGGTTCCTGGGCAACAGGCAGGAATTCTCAAAAGCTTGGTTGCACCTGCTCAATTGTTGCTTGCAGCTGTGTCAGATGAGTAAGTGCACAGAGAAGCTTGTTAGCAGTTTGGTTCTGCTGTTATGTATTTGTATTTTTGTACTATGATTTTGAAAGATACTTCCTTGATGTAGACCTTGAACTAGTACATTCATTTATTTTAAAACTCACTAATTTGGGCTTCCAAAATATTTCCTCCGAATCCTTGTGTGTGTGTGTGTGTGTGTGTGTATAGTCATATATATATGACTGCCCTGCCCTAGATAATATGTACACTGGCATCTTCAAAGCATACCTGGGAGACTAGATCTCTCCAGATAACTGTGATGACTGTGTTGATAATAATCTTTGTCCTGGTAGAGACATTTTGTGTTTGGCTCAATTTCATCATGTTGGCAGCCCCACTATGTGAGGCTGGATGTAGTTATTGATCCATTTAGCTGAACAGATTTGAAAGCATTTGGATATTAGTGGACACATGGGGAATATTCAGAAAATTTAAGGGTATATTGTAAGATGATTTCTTGATTTGTGCATGTCTCTGTTGCATTTGGGGCAGAAGTGAGGGAGAAATAAAGTGAAATTAAACAGCAATCCTAGAAAAGGGGCTAAAAATCCAGATGCAGATTTTGAGAATGGGATATTATCCTTGGATCAAATGCTAGATACCTGGTATTTTTCCTAAGTGTTACTAGTGGTGAGATTGTTATTATTTGTTAATGGTTTTATGTATCTTCTGACAAATATCTGTATTTTCAAAACAGGCAAGCTATTGTAGGCCATATTTTATACTAGCTAGGTAAAATTCTATAAATGAAATAATTAGTAAATTTATTCAGTAGTCCTATATTCCAGATAGCAAAAACTTGTTCAGACAGTTCGCATTATTTTCCTTAACCTAAAACACTAACAGTTTTAAAACACTAACGGTTTCCTATCAACATTTAGTAACAGAAATCTTTCTTGAAGCTGATATTTTTTTTTATTTTCATTGATCCATTTAGAATTCTTTTAATAAATAACCATGATATGAATTTAACCTCTTGGGAAGTAAGAATAGAGATACAAAAGTAAAGAGTATTGGCCATAGTCCCTTAATGCAATGCCTTGAACATAGTAGTTGGTCAATAAATGTTGAATGAATGCATATATGAATAAAACATTTCTGCTGTTCTATTAGAAATAGAGGGATAGTGTCCTAGAAACTTATTACTTGTTATACATTTTGGATAAGCCTTGATGGACTTACTTTAGTTTTTATACTGGTGGATAGATAGAGATGAAAATACTGATAAATCCTGTTCTTAAAATGAGACATTAATATATCAGAATTGATCCTTTGTTATTTTTATAAAGAATTAGAATAATAATATTTGCTTTATATTCATTTTTACTCAGAATGAGAAAAGCCTTTTTATTATCCCTATTATACACACAAGGCTGAGGCCTTAATGGTTAAGTTACTTGTCACCTTGGAAACTCTTTGCAGCGTAGGGATAAACAAATCTGTGTTATGTGACTAATGCCCTAACCTTCCTGAACACTCACTCTGCTTTCTTCCTCTCCTTATCTCTGTCTTACTAAAACACAAAAAATAAAATCCGTGTTCACTCTCTCAATCAGGTAAGATCAGAACATATTAAACATTTGTAGCTGTTTCACTAAGCAGAAATAATGTATCCTTTATTTATTGCATACATATTTATAATTATGGTTTCTAATTATACACCAAATTCCAACTATAAATACATAAAGTCATACAAAGGTAGATTCAAAGAGAACCATTAAGACCTGCTTTAGATAGGCACTTCTAGAGTTCCATTTTGGTAGCGTGATTCACTCTCCTAAGAATGGCCCAGGTTGCAAAATGAGGCAATAACTACTGTAGGTAAACATCTTGTTTAGCTTCAAAAATTTTGCTACCATTGACTGATGATAATCATGAGCACTTTTATGCTTGAAAGTGCCTTTCCTCTGGGAACACTTTTTCTTTTACCCTTAATTTAAACCAGTGGGCAAGAAGTCAATATCATGGACATCATTTCTTCCTTCTGATTCTAGTGTAGTTGATTAAGCTATATCACTATATTAGTCTCAACATGAGAATTTAACAGTTAAGCCACCATATGTATTAGCTAGAATATTTATCATTAAACCAGACAAATATTAGCAGCTGCTTCAGTGGTCTGTACCAGAATTACTATGTGGAATCTCAAAGATAAACTGCCAAGCCCTAGAATTCCTCAGCCTAATTGCAGGTTTCTGTGTGACTTCAGGATTAAAGAAATAAAGGAAGTAAATCCACATTTATTGAGAACATAGCATGCCTAAATATAATTTCTTTCTTTCCTCCTTCCATCCTCCCTCCTGGCCTCATTTCCTGTCTTTCTTTTACTGTATAAGGTAAACGGGATGCCTACTGTTTGCTAGACACAGTGACAGGCTAAATGAATAAGAAAAGTACTTGTTCTCAAAGATCAACCAGTGTAGAGGGAGACAAAGATATGTCAAGAGGGTTCTTTTGAGCATCACCAATTATTATTTAGTATGGAACTGGTCACATGTCTGTTCTTTTGTTTCCTCTTCTGTGAAACTAGAAACATTATCTACCGTATATTTTAATGTCTTGAGAGAGATAACATGCTCCATTGTTTGACACATAGCAAATACTCAATAAAAGTCTTAGCTATGCTAAATTTTCTATCACCACCACTACTACCAACATGAAGACTGCTCTAAGATACTGAAGAGTTCCATCCAATGTCTGGGAGCAGACATTGTAGTCTGAATATTTTTGCATAGATTGCCTCCAAAATTCTGCCCAAAGTTACAACTGCTTTTATGGATTTAGAAGAAATTTTAGAAATTGTCAATCAGTATACTAAATCTAAAAGATATATTCTTTTTGTCATTTTCCCCAAATTTTAATTATGGTCAAATACACACAACAGAAAATTAACCATCTTAATCCTTTTTAGATGTTTAGTTGAATGGTATGAAATACATTCATACTGTTGTACAGCCATCACAATCATCCATCTCCACAACTTTTTAATCTTGTCAAACGAAAATGCTATACACATTTAAAAATAACTCCCAATTCTGGCCTCCCTCTGCCTGCTGGCAACCCCCATTCTACTTTTCATCCAAATGATTTTGACTTCTGTTAATTACATAAGGGAAATCACACAGTATTTATGTTTTTGTATTTGCCTTACTTCACTTAGTGTAATATCCTTAGAGTTAATCCATGTTGTAATACAAGTCATAATTTCCTCCTTTTTAAAGGGTGAATAATATTCCATTGTATGGATATTCCATATTTTGCTTATCATTCATCTGTCAGTGGATATTTGGATTGCTTCCACATTTTGGTTATGCATAATTCTTCTATGAACACAAGTATACAAATATCTCCTTGAGAACCTGCTTTCAGTGATTTTTAAATATATACCCAGAAGTGGAATTACTGGATCATGTGGTAATTCTCTTTCCCATGTATTCTTATGCTGAGATTACTTTCAACTAAATTGATTGGAATATTTTAATTTGTGTCTGTGAATGACATTGGTTTCTTCATAAGGAAAATAGGATGAGTTAGGTTCAGCAAGAAAATATCTACTAGTTGAGCTTATGCTTTAAAGGAGCCTATGAATGCCTTAAATAGATCAACATCTCAAATGCTAATGATGTTTTTAGAATATCTGGATTTTAACTCTTTTGATCATGTTTGAACTTAGGAGTTTTGAATTCTAACTGGCTACTGAAATCTGAGCTCCAAAATTCATTAGCTATGTGACCTGATCAAGGTTGCCTAAGCTTACTAAGTTTCAAGTGTTCAGATTTATGATATGGTAGGACAAACACTTGTTTTTTATTGATGTATGTGAGGATTAAAGTAGTTAGGTATAAAAATATTTGGAGTGCAATATTTACTAATATTCTCTGCATGTTAATTTTTTCTCTTTCTTGTTAATATATGAAGTTGTTATAATAGGCAGTATAGGAATTTGAAGGAAATTTGGTATTCATTTTTTGGCAGTTAATTTTGGTAATGTTGTGGCTTTGATAAATACTGTGGAATATCTCAGTTTATCATGTAGACTCATAATTTCTAGCTATGCTTGTGTTCACCTCAGTGTTTGTTTACTATGGAAGCATATCCTCCAATGGAAGTTCTGCTGATACAACCCCAGATAGCTTTCACCCCTCTTTTGAAAAGCAGATGCCCTCAAAACCAATCTCTTAAAAATAATCTCTCAAAGAACCCATATTTTCATTAAATATGGTTCTCTTGGCAAGGTTGTCACAATCTAAGCAGCTTCAAGTTTAGTGCATTTAAGTGCCAATGACTAGATAGCTATATAAGGTTTCTTTTTTCTTGAGAAGGAAATTAGCGTGGTAAAATATCCTGATGCCCTACAATGCAAACTCCCTTAACAGGAGAAAGG